ACTCTTTCATTCAAACAGTATGCATAAACAAGTTTAAATGAATCATTTCTAGTTTTACAAGACAATACTATTAATATTTTTATTACTTTTAAACCAGTTTTGACAAGGTTTGCTACTCTTTCATCCACTTATTGTTTAGTATTTCCAAAAGATAGTATTTAGAACGATCACATATTTTACATTTCTGTCATCCTGATTTAACTCAAACATTTCTGGAGCACAATAAAAGCTGAACACGTTTGAATTAGTAAGATCCCTAATTGAGCTGCTCATTTGCCAAATCAACTAACTCCACAAACAAAAAGTAGAGAAATTGATAAAACAATATATATTCCTTTTAAAATTTAAATAAACGTTGTAGAATATATTATTACAGGCATAGTTTTATGTAACAACATATAAAATAACAATAATTATTCCAAGGATGTCCTTGTTTATAGTATTTGCATAACTAACGGAGTTAATCAATTTGGCGTGGAAATGACTCAATAAACATTATACGTTCTCATAAATTTATTGCTATATGATGATAAAAATTATTTCATATATAAAATTTATTTAAATTAATTAATATGTAATGTTGATAGGAAACTATTCTACATGTATCCAGTTATTGTTGATTATTTTTAATTATTTTTCTAATAAATAGAATTGAATTCTATGAATATTTTAATTTTAATAGATTATCTGGTAAAGACAATGCAAAAAACATCAGAATTTTTTAATGTTAATCTTAAAATGACAGGAAAACAATCAAGAGAGAAACTTTTTATTATATAAATAAAATTTAATACATCTGCATTCAGAATTATTTGATAAAACCATTAAATTACATAAAATTAAGAAATTTTTTCAGGCATGTTTAATTATAACATTTATTACTTTTTAAAAACAACTTCGCGTAATTTGGCTTGTTTTGTGTATAAAATAAAATGAATAAACTAAGCATTAATATTCTTATGATTAAACAATAAAATTTAATAACTTTATTAGAAGTATTTGATACAACTTTGCTTTCCAGTAGAACAAGGTTTTGCCTGATAACTTTTTTTTTAGTAGAAACTGAAAAAATAGTCAATATATTATCTACAAACTATGATTAAGAACTGCAGAAGACAACTGGATAATTAAAAAAAAAAAAAACAATATTTAATCCAGTAATTAATTAATTATAATTAAGTAACTAACTTATGTTTTGGCCACTTTATCAACCATGTATAGGTAAAATGCAGCTGAAAACATTTTTTATTTAAATAATAATTCATTTCTGGTTTGTAGATTGTTCATTCTATATAAGTTAGGCTTTGCTTATTTTTTTTATCAATATTTTTCTAATATTTAAAAATTTTTATTTGATTTCTTTTGAATCTGAAAGATTTTATTTTATAGCATTATCAGTAAAATTTTATTATTGTTACAGATTTTAATTTATTCTGATTCCTCTCTCAAAAATGTTTTCTTTATCTAAGAATTATTATATGATTTGATCTTATTTACTATGCGATTTTCTATAATTTACTATCTGTTACCTTGAATTTCGGAAGAGAAATTATTCTTTTACTCTGTTGTTTTAAACTGATGACTAGACTTTTTTTTTTTACATTAAGGTTAATCAATTTGGTTCTGTATCAAAATTTTAAAATATCCATTATAGTAAAGTGACACATATTTAAATCAGTTTATAGTATTAAAATTAGTTTTTATCTCAAAATTAAAGGAGTAGGAGAATAACCAAATTAATGACAGATTCTTCAAAATCCATATGCCACGTGTGTTCAAATAGACCATAACTTCTTTAAATATAGCCACAAAAATTGGCACTTGTTCTAAAACACAAGGAGCAGGAAGTGTTTAAAGAAATGCTTATCAATCTTAATAATAGTCTTTTATTTTAGATTTCAGATTATTAGTATTTATTATATAATGTTTAATTTTATCTGAAGTTATAAAAGTGTGTATTATTCTGTGAACAATTATATTCTGACATTTTTAATATTTTTTTTACATAACTTATATGTTTCTAATCTGTTCATTTCCATTTTAATATTGTTAGAATCATGTTTTGTAGTTTTTAAGAATCATACATATGCAGATATGTAATTTTGAATAGTTAGTGCAGGAAGTTACGTATTTATTTTTTCAAACTGATGATTCTTTTTATCACTTTCTCTCTCTGTGTGTATGTGAAAATCTATGTTAATATATCTTCAGGTTGTTGTTGTTTTCAAATTACTTTAATCAATAAATTTTCAAAAAAACATATGATCAAAACATTAACAATATTCTCAATTTGAGAAGTTTTTAGAGGATATTTTATATTAACTTAAGTTATAATTATCAAAAACCATTTTTTAATTTTTAAATAATATAGTTTTAAATGTATAAATTGAGCTGTATTGCTGAGAAACAAGATTGAAGTCTTGTAAAGTGTAAATGTTTATTCACTTTAGTAGTGTTTTATGATTCCAATTTAATTATCAATTGGAAAAATTGCCAGTAGTATATCAGCATCAGTGACATGCAATCTTTTGTGAAAATTTAAGAGAATATGTGAAACTGGAAAATCAGCTTTAAGTAATAAAATTATATATATAAAGAAACATTGTTGAAGAAAAGATATAGTATTATATTCAGGATTATTAATTAAACTATGGAAACTGGTGTAATTAGTTGATGTATCATTAAGAAGTTAGAAGGTTGAACAAATGCATAGATTTTCCACCATCAACTCAAAAAAAAAAAACATGAATGAAAATGTAATTTAGTTAGTAATTGTATTTGTAAATATTTCAGATGCATGCATTTAAGTGCATTCTAGTGATGTGTTTTGTATGTATGTATATAATACCGGTTTATGTACAGTCAAACCTGTCTATAATGGAATTCCATAGGACCAAGTAATTCTTCTGTAGTAGACAGGTTTCTGCTATATACAGTTTATCTACTTCAGACATCCCTTGATTAACACAATCAATTAATCTCTCGATACTACCGCGTATGTCAAAATCATGTTAATTAAATAAAGTAGTACCTTGGTATTGACTGAACAATCATCACTTGCTAGAACAAATTTTCAGTTAATAACAAATATTTTTATTTTAACTTTAATTTTGTCACCCGTAAAATTAATTAATTAATTTATTTATATTTTATTTATTATATTGAATTTAGCAATGCCTCGTGGACAGTATTTGCCAGTCCTCATTACAACAATCTCAATTATTTAATGTTTCTGTGATAAAAATGAGTAATTAATTTAAAAATAAAATGAAACCTTAGAGCTACCTACCACCTTCAGACAAAATTATACTCAATCCAGTTTTTTTAATGCATGTGGAACACAATTATCATCACATTTTACAACCATTTCAAGTGAATGAAGTGTTTCAACAATACATGTCTGTGACAGACTATGATTTGTTATAAGTTCACGAGTTGGTATTTACCTATTTTTAACAATTTTTTCCTGAAATTTTTCTTTGTCGACACTTTTTGGGTACCCTGTACATTTTGTATCTTTTAGTTCAAAATTTCCCAAATGAAACTTTTTAAANGGACTAATCCATTTTGGCCCAATTAAGTGGCTGCCCCAATTAAACGAACTAATAATAAATTTTAAAATAAAATATTAATACTTAGATAAATAAGTAGGTAAAAAATAATAATTAGGTACTTATTTTAATGCTTTATTAAACCAAAATACAGGAAATGTTTGTACTATAAATTTGCCTGACTCACGACAATAGACTGATTTGCATCATACTAGTGTTGCCAAATATTAGTAGTGATGTGCACAAGGGTTGACTGTTTGATCTGTTTTTGATCGAATGATTTTTCCTTTTTCCCTTTTTAGTTAGAACATGTCTGGGTTCATCCAAAAGTTACCTTATCGCCTTTCTTTGAGCAGTTTCCTTCACTTGGAGATGGGCCACTTTGGTGGGAGTGTGAGTAGAATCTGCCAGCTTCAAATGATGGTCCTAACAATTGGATGGCTGCTGTTTGAATCTAGAAGTAATAATGCACACAACATCTTCCAAGGGAACTCTAGCTGTCTTCCAACTTGGTCGAGAGACCTTGAAAAATTGTCCAGGGGTCTTTGTCCCTTCGCTTTTAAGGGGATGTCCGGTCCAATCCAGAGCAGGGTCAGTAGCTCGCTTTGAGGTCTGCCTCAGATGAGATCCTGGTGATACGTCCCACTATGCCAACCCTCTCTGGAAAAACCAAACCACCCAAGCAAACGACAAAATTGCTTTGTTTCCATCAACCATTAGACCTACACGACATTAGTGTACACAGTGTATGTAGTGTTGACATTTTTCGGAAGATCCCTAAAATATATAAAAAATTTCTATATTCCTTTTCTGCTACTATCCAAATTAAGCAAAAAGTTGCCCCAATTAAGCATTTAAATTATGTATTAATTTATTAGTTTTGTTTCTGTTCTTTGAGATTTGGTCCAATAAAGTGGCTACCCCAATTAACTGGTGGCCCAATTAAACAGAATTGACTATATATATATCACTAATTACAAGTAAGTAAAGATCTCACTGTGTAGATATCATCACTTATCATATGTGTAGATACAGTATAGATACAGTATATTTATAATATTTTGTAATGTCTAGAATATATGTAATGTAATAGTGCGTCCAGTATATGGTTGAATTTTTTAAATATGTTCAACACGATTATTTTAAATATGTCTGGAAATTTTGAAATACAGTAATTTATAATAAAACAACCTAAAAAATGTAAAATGATGAGGGCATGATGCAGAAATGCATATTTATTAATAGGCTGTGAATTTTGATGTAAACTTTAGTTAAATATTATATTTCAATGCTAAATAAAAATTAAAATCTGAAAACCTGTCTCCATGTATGATAAATCCTAAAAGACATTATAGATTTAAAAATTAATAGTGATGAAGTAATAACACTATATTGAATTTTTAAATAAATGTGAGATGATGTGAAAAATAATAATTTGTTTTTTTACAGTTATATGGAAGCGAAAAGAATTTTAAAAGTCTTAAATGAGTCATGACGCATTACATTCGGGAGATATGATTTTGAAATTAAAACCTGACACATACAAAAATTATTATGGTGTCATCATGATTTCATTGTAAGTTGTTTATAATATTTTTTTATATAAGATTACATTTAAAAATATCTAGTTTATCGTCATATATCTGAAATAACTGTATATATGTCTGAATAATTTTATAGAGTAAAATGATAAGATACAAAGTGCACAATTGATTATTATAAAATATTTTGAAATAAAGTAAATTTATAGTAAATGATAAGATTTTGAATGTGATATTACACAATAGAAAAGCAATTTCCAACTATTCCAAGATTTCACATTTTTATCAAATCCTAAAATATTATGAAATTACTGTACATCATAGCAGGATGTTACAAAAATTTAATAATTCTTGCATATTTTGTGTCTTATTAATGAACTTTAATACATTTTAATCAAATTCAGTATTAATTAACAAACAACAGATCCATGAAATTTTATTCATTAACGATCAAACAATTCAGTTTGTTTTATTTTGTTCTATAATCTCTTAAATTTTCTATTTTAATTTGTAAGAATTTGTTCTAACCTAAGGAAACTTTATATATTAAAGATGAAAGTACAGAAAAGTGCCAATTATCTGAAATAATCTGGAAAAAAAAAATTTGTTATCCAAAATCGTCCAGCCCAATTATTTTGGATTACCAATTTATATATATATATATATATATTTATGATAAGTGAGATATATACTTGGGGGCCCAAAAGTAATGGGAAAAAATTCAGAAAAAATTGTGTATTTATTTTAACAACTTCATATTTTAATTTCCTTCAAAATACTCTCCATTAGCCTCAATACACTTGTTCAAACATTTTTTCCATTGTTCAAAACTCCTAGAAAATTCCTGTTTTGAAATGTCTCTTAGTGCCTTCATTGTTTTTGTTTTCTCCTCTTCTACTGTCTGAAATTGCTTCCCTTTGAGTTCCCTCTTCATCCTGGGAAACAAAAAGAAAATTGCAAGATGCGAGATCAAGCGAATGGGGGGAGAAGGGTCATGCCATTTCTTGTCAAAAAGTGTTGCATGGAGTATGAGTGGGCATGTTGTTGTGATGGAAAAACCAATCTGCTGTTTGTTACAATTCTTTTCTTTTCCTTCTCACAGCATCACGAAGTCTTTTGAAGACTTCCAGATAACAATATTGATTGACTATCTGGTCTGGATGAATTCGTAATGAACAATTCCTTTCACATCAAAAAAAACAGATTAACATTTGACTGCACTTCTGTTGCTGTTTTGGGATGAGAAGATCCTGATGTTTTCCACTGGCTAGATTGATGTTTGGTTTCCAGATCATAATCATAACACCATGATTCATCACAGTTATCACCTTAGAAAACAAGTCTGGATCATCTTCCAAATGTTCTTTCAAAGCTGACGAGCTATCAAGCAATTGCCTTTCTGATCGGTAGTCAACAAGTGCGGAACAAACTTCGTGGAAACCCTTTTCATGCCATGTTCTTGTGACAAAATTTGCTGAATCAAACTCCATGAACTCCAATCTCAGACAAATTGACAAGTTCATCAATGGTTCGATAACAATCTTTGTTAATGAGATCGCAAATTTTCTCAACATTTTATCAGTTTGAACAGTGGATGGACGACCAGAATTGGGTTGATCTTCAAGAGAGATTTCTCCTTTTTGAAAGTGCGAAAAACCAATCATAAACCCTTGTCTTACTCATGACATCTTGTTTGTAAGCACATTGAATCTTTTCAACTGTTTCTGATCCACTTTTCCCTAACAGGAAACAAAATTTCACAGCAGCGTATTGCTCTTTAAAATCTGACATCACATTTTCGATGAAAATGAAAAACAGCTCTCACAAAAAAAATCACTTTAGATCAGTGTTTTCCAACATTTTTTGTGCTATGTCACACCTAAGCCTTTCTAAAATTCTTATGCCCCTCCTAACATATACAGTGGATATACGGTTAACTTAAACTCTGAACGAGTCTATTTTTAAATTGCCCCCTGTGGTATGTGGACCCCATGTTGGGAAACACTGCTATAGATCAACAAGTCTTGACAACACTGACACTGCTTCACATACTGATTCCAGAAGATTTTGTCTACTGACATCTAGTGGCAGATATCTGTACTACAAATCTCCTGCCTTCCACAAAATTATTCCCATTATTTTTGGGTCTTCCATATATATATATATATATATAGTTGATTAGGACACATTGGGACTAATCCAGGGGTGGCCATAGTTTTTGCCCGGGCCGAATTGAAAAAAAAACTTTTTTCACAGGCCGAACCAGAGGCTGCCCTAGGAAGATTTTGAGGTGGTGCGAGATCTCATTGTGGTGTCACCCCGTAGAGACTAAATTTTACATAGAGATTACAGATACATTTTTCACATTATCATGCATTGTCAACATTCTAGCTGTACTTAAGAGATTTGTAATGGAGCGTTAACTCTAAATGCACAGTGAGTTGTTGACCTTTTTTTTTTTTTCTTAGGTGTCAGAATATTTCATCAAGCTATTTGGACTTGAGTAGCTAATATTGAAAGATTGATTGCAGGCCACATAAATTTATTAGACATTTTGTATATTGGCCATGCCTGACTAATCCATTTTGGCCCAATTAAGTGGCTGCCCCAATTAAACGAACTAATAATAAATTTTAAAATAAAATATTAATACTTAGATAAATAAGTAGGTAAAAAATAATAATTAGGTACTTATTTTAATGCTTTATTAAACCAAAATACAGGAAATGTTTGTACTATAAATTTGCCTGACTCACGACAATAGACTGATTTGCATCATACTAGTGTTGCCAAATATTAGTAGTGATGTGCACAAGGGTTGACTGTTTGATCTGTTTTTGATCGAATGATTTTTCCTTTTTCCCTTTTTAGTTAGAACATGTCTGGGTTCATCCAAAAGTTACCTTATCGCCTTTCTTTGAGCAGTTTCCTTCACTTGGAGATGGGCCACTTTGGTGGGAGTGTGAGTAGAATCTGCCAGCTTCAAATGATGGTCCTAACAATTGGATGGCTGCTGTTTGAATCTAGAAGTAATAATGCACACAACATCTTCCAAGGGAACTCTAGCTGTCTTCCAACTTGGTCGAGAGACCTTGAAAAATTGTCCAGGGGTCTTTGTCCCTTCGCTTTTAAGGGGATGTCCGGTCCAATCCAGAGCAGGGTCAGTAGCTCGCTTTGAGGTCTGCCTCAGATGAGATCCTGGTGATACGTCCCACTATGCCAACCCTCTCTGGAAAAACCAAACCACCCAAGCAAACGACAAAATTGCTTTGTTTCCATCAACCATTAGACCTACACGACATTAGTGTACACAGTGTATGTAGTGTTGACATTTTTCGGAAGATCCCTAAAATATATAAAAAATTTCTATATTCCTTTTCTGCTACTATCCAAATTAAGCAAAAAGTTGCCCCAATTAAGCATTTAAATTATGTATTAATTTATTAGTTTTGTTTCTGTTCTTTGAGATTTGGTCCAATAAAGTGGCTACCCCAATTAACTGGTGGCCCAATTAAACAGAATTGACTATATATATATCACTAATTACAAGTAAGTAAAAATCTCACTGTGTAGATATCATCACTTATCATATGTGTAGATACAGTATAGATACAGTATATTTATAATAAGTGTGAACAATCATATGCAGTATATATGTGATTGATCACACTTGATAGAAAAAGAAAAAAAGATTCATATTTTTAGATTTTTTTTTTACTTTATTTAAGATATTTAATTTAATTTTTGTACAACAGTGAAAAAAGTTAAACATCGAATTTAATACATGTGAATGCTAAGAAATTAAGAAAAAATCGTGTAATTTATTAAAAACAAGCACTAATCTTTCATTGTAATCTAAATATACTGATGAAATTTTGAATTAAAAGTAAAAAAAAAAAATACATAATTGAGGTGGAGTGTTAATGAAGCTTCTTCTATGTGAATTATAGAATTGAGTTCATTCTCAAAATTTAATCAGTTGATTTTGATTAAACTTTGTAATTTTACATAATATGATACAAGGAAATTAAAAATATAATAAAAATAAGGGTCTAAGATTTTGATTTCACGATACAGTGGTTTTGAGAGAGATTCTTTTTTATGCTAATGGTGATGTCACTGCAATGGTAGTGGCAGGTGATCACCACTAGCAATATATTAAACAGAACGTGCTCAGCAAATAATTAGATAATCGTAACACACCTTTTATGTTGCTGAGATAGTTTTATTGAAAACTAACATTTTCGGCCCATTCTATAGGCCATCCTCGGGTTTAATGAAAGAATTGGAACGTCAGCATTCAGTAAAATAGAATGCATATACAGTGGAATCTCACTTAACGAGCAAAACAAATTGTAAAAAAATGACTCGCTTAATGAACGTTTTGCGTAACAAGTGACAAGAAGAGGGGAAGTCCCAGATTGTGCGCATGCTCCATCAGTTTGTGTTTAGCACTCATTCTGCGAGTATCTTAGTGTCACTTGTGACTATGCATTTTTCCAAACTTGTGCATACACATATTACATATAAACATCAACAACCATAGAATAAACACACCAGATGATATGCCAAATTCTTGGGCTATGTGAAAGTTATAATTAAATATTAGAAATTAAATAATTTGACTAGAGGTAGGCAGTTAAGCTGTCATCTCGTATTAAATTTAATGACCAATTTCAAATTCAATTTTGATTTTTTTTTCCTGCAAATGTAATTCACATTCCAGGTTTGTTCATTCCACGCTAAAAGAAAAGATGATGATTCACGCTCCTTAACAATGTATATTGTATAATTTACTTTGAATAAATGTTATACATAAAATATTTGAGTATTTTTTTTTTGACATGGAACGCATTATCACATTTTACATTACTTTATATGGTAAAAATTGTTTCACTTAACAAGTGTTTTGCATTATGAGTAAGATTCTGGAACAAATTATGCTCGTTAAGCGAGGCTCCACTGTATTGATGGAATGTTGATGTTCCAATTTTCTCATTAAACGTGAGTATGGCCTATAGAATGGGTCAAAAAT